CATGTTAAAGCACGATAGAAGCACAAATTTTTTAGACCAATTTTCGGATTGGCACCAATTGACTTGATTTAGTTCGGACATGGACTTTCTGCATAAGTCTTTTGGTTTTTAAGCCTATGGCACTTTTAAACTATTTATGTGTTTCCAGCATAAGTCTCGTAGTGCAACGCCAGACACCTTTAGAGATTCGGCAAAACATTCTCAGGTATTGATTTATATGCATCGGTTTCAAATTGTGTCTTTGGTCAATAGTTGGGTTGCCCGGCTCCTGTGCTTTCCTCCTACGTTCCGCTTTGTTCGGCTAGGTGTGCAAAGGGAGAACCACTGCGATTGTGCTTCCAACTAGCATGGTTAAGCGCCTCAGTGGAGAAAGCCGAAAACTGACTGTCACGATAAGTGTAAACTGGTCAGCGATTCGATGACTGTGTTAAATTATAAGATCGATAGAGGTCACCCCATGTTAAATGACGGTCCATTCATAACATTGGCCTAAGTATTTACGGCTTGACCTCGACTGTCACCGAACACTAACTGGGGGCTAGTAACTGGCCTCCCAACTTTAAGCTCCTATGACTGAGTGAAAGTTATAAAGCCCGCATATCTGATTGCCTCGTTTCCGCTAACACAACCACCTTAGGGCACCGAGACGTCGGCTAAGGGTTGTTTTGTTATTGCGAAAACGCCCTGCGTAGCATCTACAAGGGGGTGGAAGCCGATGATGGGCCACTTTCAAATGATAAACGGTCGCAACGGAGTCAAAATAAACATATCATCGGCGTTTGTATTTAATATACGAGGGCCTCCTTCCGCAATCATCGTTATAAAGCCATAAATATGCATCAATTTGACTTAAGATTTTGGCCAAGCTGGGTTGCCTGGCTCGTATGCTTACCCCTACGTTCCCGATTGTTCGGCTAGGTGGTAAAGGGAGCACCTCTGTGATTGTTACTACCGGGTCATCCGAGTAAGTACCTCAGACTGGGTGAAGCCGAAAGCTAGCAATCTTAAAGGATCACATTGGTCAGCAACGACGGAAGTAAAATTTTTGGTTCATTAATACCATAGACTTCGGGAACTTTCCTCGAACTAAATCCTCAATATTTTCCTCCCACATTGATTGGAGGTGAGGTTTCATGAACATGATAAGCATGACGACTCAAAGAAAGGAACCAATAGCGGGACTATTTTCTTTGGAGGATGTTTCTTACGTTAAAACGTAATATAACATATCTCTCCGTGTACCTTTGTTTATAAAACCGTATGTCCGGATTGCCCTGTTTTCCATAAATCTTTGCCCTTATAACGGCTTTATAAAGTAGGAAAACACTCCTCGGCTACTGGCCGAAGAGGTTGAAGTCGATGGTCGGTCAACAAAGTTTTGTACAATGCGGATCTGAGCATTAATGATGTAAAGTACTTGGATACATAGAGTCATTACACATAATTTGTTATTTTACTATGGATATCGAAACTTAATTCGGCCACCCGTGCCTGCATTAAGGCTCAGGGGCTACTGGGATTCGGGCTTATTATTTACAAATATTAAAGGGGGCACATCGATCCCCTGATCTGGTGTTGCCACCCGACCAGTGTCTCGGTGGCAACTGCATTGCCCGTTCAATGCGGAAAATTCAAAGTTCTTAGTGTTCGGCTTGACCGAACTATAGGCAAACGCATCTTCGGACAGCAATAGGTACCATCTGGACCTATCCGGCATCAAGCTAATATATTACGGCAGCTTCTCAAGACCCTCTCTCAAGGGCCCGTCCGCCGATCACTATCTCCTCTCAAGTGCATCTCGGATTTTTAGACCGACACACACCTTGAGGGCTACTGGCTACATATATCGTCAGTAAATAAATTGCATCAATCAAAAATAAAATCCGCAAACAATCAGCCCAAGCCCGAGATGGTGTGTCACCTCGGAAGCAGTCCTGCATAAAGCTCGGATGCAAGTGGCTGGCTCTATAGAGGGCATTTCCGGCACTAAGCTCGGCTAACCTCCTTCAAACTTCTTCAAGCCAAGGTGATCTATGACACCTCGGATATAGTGCGGTGTTGGAGCTCGGATGCAGTCAGGCGTGGGAGCTCGGATACAGTCCGGCGTTGGTGCTCAGCTACAAAGGATACCTCGAATGCAGTCCGGCATTGGAGCTCGGATGCAAGAGGACACCGCCACACGGGAACAACTTCAAACCCGAGGTGTGGTGTAAAAATAACAAGGCATTGATAAAGGCCGAGAATTAAAGGGGCTCCTCGGATACCCGACGTGTAAACTCTTCGGGTTCACTTTGGCGATCCTCAAGATCGAAGATGGGAAGATTTGTTGAACCAGTTTTCAAGACCGACGACCGAAGATGAAGAACAGTTTGGAAGAATCGATGAGCGTCCCCAACTTGAAGACCGGTTCAGGGGGCTACTGATGGTGTCCTGGACTAGGGGGTACTCACCATGTCGTCTCCCGACCAGTTGGATCGGGCCGAGGGCCCCCGTGGCAGTTCATTATTGGGCCAGTTCGGACAGCCCATACCGCATACAAGGAGGATTCCACAAGACCTGGCGCCCAAGACTAGGACTCCTCTAAACCCTAGGCCTACGGTGCATATATAAACCGAGGCCAGGCTAGTCAATAGAAAATCTAATATTCATTAGAACCACCTCGTGGTAGATACATGTACTCTGTACTACACCCCAGATGAATACAATCAAAAGCACGACGTAGGGTTTTACCTCCATCAAGAGGGCCCGAATCTGGGTAAAATCCCGTGTCCATGTTACCATCGCTCCAAGACGCCTAGCTTAGGACCCCTACTACGAGATACGCCGGATATTGAACCGACAGCGGGCTCCGCGGACTGGCTCCGGGGGCGGAGTGGGTGCAGGGGGCGACAGCAAGTCTGGCTCCGGGGGTGGGGATGGGCGTCGTCGGGAAGGGGGTGGGATGGCCGGGACGACGCGCGGGTGAGGTGGGGGGAGAGACAGAGAGGGGATGGGCCGGTGGGGCAACGGGGCGGTGGTGGTGGTCGTCGGGGAGGAGAGAGGGAGGGAGAGAGAGAGAGAGAGAGAGAGAGGGCACGACGGGGGCGCGGTCGTTAGTTAAATTGAATGTTTGTCGTCTGCCTGTCCGTTGCCATCCGCTGTGTTGCTCTTTGCCACGGCAAAGAAGGGGGCCGTTAGGGTTTACTAGCCAGTGGGCCAACCTCCCTCTTTGTCGTCTGCTAGCAAACGACTAAGATGACTGATGGCAAATATGTTCTTTGCCATCAGCCAGCTCTTTGTCGTCTGTTTTTTGGAAGCTGACGGCAAAGAAGTGGCTGATGGCAAATCTTTTGATTCCAGTAGTGAAGTAGTCTAATCACCCCATGTAGACATACTTTCGATACTACACGAGCGTTGCCACCGCGCCGCATCCACTGCCGCACACGGCGAGCACGCCGCACCATGTTTGCTCGAACGACGCCCACGAGGAGTGGAGTGAAGTGGCTAGAATTTGATCCAGTGAGTAGGTGAGAAGGAATATACGTGGGGTCGGGTGGCCAGCATGAGCGTGCCCGGACGCCCTCCTATTCGTCTCACATTTGGGTTGGTTATTAGAGGGTGCCGGTCAGTCCGACTGTTTGAAGTGTCCGTCTAGGTCAAAATTTTGCGACTAGATAGTGACCGGCCCGCCCGGCTGGACGTATAAGATGAGTTTGAGACGTTCGGTTGTAGATGCTTTTAGTTCATGCAATTTTCAATCTCCAACGTGCACCATACAATTTTCCTGACTCGTAGATCAATTTTGCAATGTGATTCTGTTTTGTAACGGTTAGTTGTTCTTTGTTCGGAAACACTAACGCTCACATGTGTGGGCGTTTCTCAACTCGCCCACACGTCTGAATCGTCGTTTATTGTCTTTTGCACGAATCTTGACACAAAAAAATGAATTTGGTGTGCCACGTAGGACGGGGCTGGTGTGTAGTGTTGGAGAGTTTGCCCACACGCCCGCACCATGCTGTTTGCCAGCTGCGCTGTGTGGGCGAACTAGTGTCTGCCCACACAACCACCACCTAGTTCATGCGCGTGTGGGCGAACTGCTTTTCGCTCACACGACACTCCTACATTGTGGATGGCAACTGCAGTTACGCGAACGTGGCAACTAGGTAAACACACATGGCAACTGTGATTCTTTGCTAGACGGCAACTGCTGTTGTGCGTACGTGGCAACCAGATAAACACACATGGCAACTGTGATTAACAATACATGGCAACTATGATTGGACCACACGTGGCAACTAGGTAAATACACATGGCAACTACTGTTTAACTATATGTGGCAAGTAGTTAATCACACACGGCAACTATGATTTGATTACACGCGGCAACTACCAGAAATTAGACATGGCAACTATAGTTAACCAAAACAGATAGAGTTGTCATGCTAACTACATCTGCCAACCAGGATGGCAACTAAATTGTTATTCCACGGGGTACCTAACGTAGCTGCGCCATAACGTGTGAGTATTTTTGCTTCGTGCCATACACGCAAGGTGAAGATGAGTACTACTTGTTGAGCGTGTGACACGAAGTAGTTGCGCCCACACGTGTAGGCAATTCTAATGTCTGCCCACACACAGCCCGTGTGGACTGCCTCCTGCTCACACCACACACGATGTGTGGACGCATGTCGAATATACCAAACATGTGACCGGACGTCCTTTTTATTTTCCTTTGTAAACATCAGATATTTTATCGAGCCAAATTTAAATTCAGGGGGAGAGATATTATAGATCAGGCGTTCGGACGCTCGCTGTTTTGGACTAATGCTCGGATCCGGAGTGGCCTGTGTCCTCGATAAATCATCCCTGTGTTTGTCAAAAAAAAATCATCCCTGTGAGCGGTCAAGCGAGCGACAATATCCAACATCTTAGGATGGTTTTCTTGTTGGACGCCGATGCCGAGAGAAGAACCGGGCAAGGCGGCGATCCAGATCCAGATCCAGCAGCGGTAAAAGTAGAGAGATGGACCAGACGCAGCGGCTGCCCGAAGACGTGCTCGCGGACGTCCTCCGCTGTCTTCCACCGCGCAGTCTTGCTGCAGCCCGCTGCGTGTGCCGCTCCTGGCACGCCATCGTCGACGCTCATCGTCTCCTGGACCGGGACCTCCTCCCGCTCTCCTTGGCCGGCTTCCTCATCAACTTCTGTGAGCTTGACTTCACGGAGTTCTTCTTCCACCCCTCAGCAATCCGCCGCTATGCCGACCTCCACTTCATGCCCACGGACGACATCTCTGTGGAGGACGTATGCAACGGCCTAGTTTTGCTAGATCATTATGTGGTCAATCCCGCCACACGACGTTGGGCAAGCCTGCCACCACGCCCATCTCCTCCCTTGGGGTTTGAGCTCTTTTATTATGAACGAAACTACATCGTGTTTGATCCCACGGTGTCGCCGCACTACCAAGTGCTTAGGTTCCTACATGTACCCCCCCGTGGGCGTGGACTGGATGCAGAGACGAAGCAACAGCAATGGCCTCCGTCTCCATACATGATGCATGTTTTCTCTTCAGAAACAACAAGGTGGGAAGAGAGATCGTTCATCCGACAGGGAGATGCCCTGGGGACTCTTGCCGACATGTTACTGCCTCCGCTGCCAATGCCAGATGAACTATACGCTGTGTACTGGCATGGTGAAATCTATGTGCACTGTCATTTTGTTATGAGGTACTACTACACTACATACTGACTTCCTAAGCACCATCCTTTCTTCTTACAATGTTATTTCCTCGTCAATGAAGAGCTTGCATTGGTTCTTGATTTAGTACTAATATCTTCTTGTCAATGACTCCTTTCGCCAGAATATCGTTATCAAGTGGCACGTACCAAGCAATTAAACTGCCAACAGATGTTGATCAGCACCGGTGGGCACAGGTTCTTCTTGGAAGATCAGAGAAGGGGGTGTATTTTGCAACACTTGATGGTCAATGTCAGCTTCGAGTTTGGATACTCACTGAATTATCCTGCGGTCAGAGTGAGTGGCTTCTGAAGCATGATAACAACCTTCACCAAATCCCACCACCTCAAAACTATGATCCACAAGTTCACAGGCCCTGCTGGATTATGGCAGACATCAATCCAGCTATTTACAGTACAGTAAAAGACAAGTTGGAGTTGAATTCAGACCATGGGATCATCTTTGAAACTAGACTTGAAGGGCACAGGTGGGATGAACATATTAAGATCCTTGGATTTCATCCTTACAAAGAAATTATTTATTTCAGTGAAACGTTGAACAGAGGATATGCCTATCATCTAGATGAACTCAAGCTAGAAGACTTGGGCAACATGCGCCCAAAAAGATTGAATGACTGCTATAATAAGGAACTAGAAAGATCTATTCCATATACACCTTGTTTGTTGGGCCCGTAATAAGGATGTAGATAATTGATTGACAAGCTTGTCAGGGATTTCCAACGGAAGCTATGCCTACACATGATGCATACGTCTCTGTCCCTTGAGCTGCTTCACTTCCCGGCATAGTCTATGAAAGAGTTCAGTTTCATTTTTCATTTACATTTTAGTGTCTCATGTACTGTTGCTCAGTTATAGCTAGATCTACCGTTACCATGAGCTGCCATGGGTTCAGTTGTAAGGATAAGATCCAAATTAAGACTTGTGTTTGACAAAGAATGCAAGAAATGTTGTGGTTCTCCCATTCTAAGGCATAACTAGGTAGTCCTATGTCCTCGGTGTCAGACACAAAGTTTCATTCTCTACATTACAACCAAACAAAACATGATCTTTCGTTTCATCTGACAAATAAAGAATGCAAGCATGTGTTGAATTAGACAGTTTAACGTTTCAGAGAACCGGCAGTCTCAAATGCAGACACCCAAGCTTCCGCTTGCAGTTTCTATGTTCGGATAAATATGCAAATCTTCTTCAAGTAGAGCAGAGCAGCAAGGCTTGGAGATCCAAGATACCGAGTTACACAGATGTGAGTATATCTTTTTATGCACTACATTCTCCAACACAGAGGTCACTTTCCTATGTGTGTTCATACGTTCACCCAAAGCAGATCGGCATTTTGCTTCAGGTAAAAACCGAACTGGGTGAAGAAAATTAGCAATAGTAAATACAGTCAAAGACCAAAATATAACGGCGCTTGTGAGATTGTGTGCTTCGTACGACCTAGTTGAGAGTAAAATAAAGAACAATTGGATGTGAGACTTTCCCGAAGATAAATTGGTGAACACAGGGTACAAGAAGATGGACAAGTCACATGACCCAGCGGCCGCTCGCCAGGCAATAGGCAAGCCCTAGACTACTGTTCCAGTTCTCCTTTAATTTTCTGACTTATGGGAGAGGAGCCGGTGCGAGCGACACTTTGTGTTGATTGGTAGAGGTAGATCCATCCTGGAGCTCAGATAGCGACAGTGGTTGCCCTGCATTAGAGAAGCCATATTTTAGGCAACAGAGAAAAACTACAAAACAGCGGATTTTCATTGTCAAAGCAAAGAAATCTAGGTTTGGGCGAAATGGAAAACACAAGGATCAACATTAACGAAAAAGAGTTAAGGATTAACACTTGAGAAAATAAGAGAAGGAGAGAAGTTTAGAGTACGTGGCTTTCAAGAAAATGGAGAACGTGTAAACAGTCCTCAAAAAAGAGAATAGAAATAATGTAATATACTATATCCTGAACAAAATAAGACAGAAACCTCTAGCAGAGCACTAGAAAATACCACTGACCGTACCTTCGCATTCGTCGGAGAGGGCCTGGGCGTCTTTATCACGGTTACCTCCACAAGCTATGTACTTGTCGACGAGTTCATCGATAAATAGTCCAGTGCTGATAAAAGGTGGCTCTGCAGTCAGGCTACACATGCACAAAGGGTCCTCTGTCAGCGATATGTTCACGATGGTCTGCACCACTTCACAGCAAGCAAGTATGCTGTCATGCTCCTTGGATATACAGAACACGCTCGTTAGGTACGCCCAGTGCCACGAGTCACATGGCTCTCCTACCGCGCTGGGTGCGACGAGCAGTCCAATGAGCAGGAGGAGGAGATAGCGAGAATTCTCCATTGCCGAGCATCAAAAGCACGCGCGCGCACACACACGACACGAGGAAGACGATTGGGTTATTTTGCTCTTCCTTCTCGCCTCTACTCTACTGAACACAAGGGCGCAAGGTTGTCAGAATCGCGATTTTATTGTACGATTCTCCGACTTTACGATCCAAGCTAACCCCTCTGATTCTACGATTTTAGTTCATAGAATCTACGTTTTTACGATCCTGATAGTTAAGATTCTACGATTTACGATCCTACCATCGAAGCTTCGATCCGATTCAAAATCACGATTCTGACAACCTTGCAAGGGCGCGTTTAAATACTCCAGATATCCACACAAGCGCCAGGCTATCACAAGGTTCATATGCCTCCCCAAAACCACACTTCAACAAATCTGATCGGCCTGTAAAGAAAAGTGGAGCACTATTCCTACGGACACCATCTCAGTCATGCATTGCTCTCTTGTCCTCGCACCACCCTTCTAGTTTGTACACGCGCGATCACACGGTTCAACAAGACGATCACAAGCTACGTGCAGGGGGGCTGCATTACAAGCATGCAACAAACATGTTACCAGTACTGCGCAGGTATGTACAACTGAATATTTTATTGAATTCATGCTCCAGCCAACTCATCCAACACTCCCTCTCATGTCTAGGCTATTTTAGTATTAGACGTGGGATTGATGTAGTCCGTAGAATTATTTTATTTAATACTTGACAGGGTCTTGAACTCAAGACCTCTTGGCTCTGATACCATATTGAATTCATGCTTCAGCCAACTCATTCAAAAGTCCAAACTAATGGAGGGAGGTGGGCAATATATTTCAACATATTTGAGCAATTTTCTATTAAATTTAATCTAGAAAAAGATATGTAGAACATGATAGTCGTAATTGAGATGATAACTGGATCAAGTAACAAGGTGATGAAATGAGTCATGCAATGTCCAGTCTCATTCAAGACCTTCGCTATCCTGTTAAACAGTGTTGAACTTTTGATTATCCTGAGTTAGTGTTCTGTAGTTCTTGGCCCTTAATGCTAGTGCCATTTCTGTGTCCCATCATCCCCACTGCTGCTGATTGCATGATAGGCTTAGACGCTTAGTTCATGTTCTGGCTTCTCTCAACCGTTTGACAGTTAATCCAAGAGGCTAGAGGGACCCCTTGCAAGACATGGTTAGACATCCACAGTTTTCTCTCTGTACGACTGTACCCTGTTTCAAGATGGTCACTGTCGTTGGCTTCCTGTGGGGTTCTTGTCACAACCCTGGGGTTGAACCATTGAGAAGATACGTTATGATAAAATTCTGGAGTTCCCTGACTTGGTATCAGTGTGATGGTTGGTGGTGGTTTCTGGACCCGATGCTGTCTTGGGATCTTGGTTTCTTGCATTACATAGCGTTCAAGTCAAGCCCATACTTGCATTAAATGAAAATATGATCTGATCACAGTTTTGCAGAAGTACTGAATCAACAAAAGGGAAGGAAAGATACCTCACTTACGCTTACAATTGATTTTTATGCTTTGATGTGCTCTGAGATTTCTTATGTTGTGACCCGATGCTCATGATGTCTGCGGTTCATATTTTATCACCAGTAGCGATGTGATTGTGCACCTGGGTTCTGCCCTTGTCAATTCCAGACCTAGCCTGCACAATCTGCTGGTCCCTGCCAATTGTTATTCAATTGTGTAGTGGTGTCTTAAAAATCCACATGAATTCGTATATCTGGTTTTTTGAAGAAGTTAAAATTTACATAAACAGTGATGCACTAACTGCTGTTTGGAGTTCATTTGGGTCTAATTCCCTACTGCTCTGTTCTCTGGAATTCAGATTAAGGATTTCTGTCTGCTTAACTGTACTTGGAGACTGGAGTAAGCAGATGTGTATGGTAACTTGCTTTGTGTCCTGGAGAAGGTTTCATGGTCTGTTTAAGGCGGCAATTTGTTCGTTTCCTGATCCCATAAATTTGTTTAGGCCCAGTTTGGATGCAAAGTGTTTCTACACTATTATGAAAACGCACCATAGTTTTCTTTTTCGATAAAGAGTATATATTAATATTGCGAAGATACCAATTACACCCGGCCTCTGCAACAACGCAATGCCCTAATGACATAACGGATGCACACAGCCAAAAAATAAGAAGAAACTAAAAATAAAAAAGTCCTGCTACAGTGTTTCAGGACTAGCAGCAACAGCACAACCACCACCAAGACAACACCTGATGTCCATGAGAGCGGGAGAGATCGAGAGAATAATGCACCTTGAGTGCTCTCATTGCCTTGCTGTGATCATATACACGAGCTGTACATGCACAGGGCGCATAGCGCAGGAGAGAGAGGGAGAGTGGGACACGCGACGTGCGAGAGGTGGGAGGGCATGCATGGCGTGCATGGCCATGCAGCTGGTCTAGGGCAGCAACTGCTTACACCCCGCCGCGGCTGAAGCTTCCGGTGGCCGGATGCATAAGCTAGACCAGAACTCCTGGAACGCCGGTGTCGGGAGCCCCTTGGTCAGGACGTCGGTGAACTGATGCTTGGTGGGCACGTGCAGCACGTGAAGGTGACCAAGGGCGACCTTCTATCGGACGAAGTGGATGTCGAGCTCGATGTGTTTCGTGCGTCAATGGTGGACGGGGTTGGCAGCCATGTAGACGGACGAAATGTTGTCGCAGAAGACGACGGTGGCCTTGGGGAGGGAGACGCGCAGCTCATCAAGGAGCCGGCGAAGCTAGCAGCACTCCGCGATGATGTTGGCGACGACACGGTACTCCGCTTCCGCGCTGGAGCGGGAGACTGTAGCTTGTCGCTTGGATGACCAAGAGACCAAGGAGTCGCCGAGGTGGACAGTGTAGCCGGAGGTGGAGCGCCGTGTGTCCGGGCAGCCCGCCCAGTCCGCGTCCGAGTACGCGGTGAGCGCGAGTGACGCCGACGGGTGCAGGTAGAGACCATGCTCGGTGGTGCCACTGAGATAGTGCAGAATGCGCTTCAGCAAGGCAAGGTGTGGAGTGCGCGGATCATGCATGACCCGGCAGCACTGCTGCACGACATAGGCGATGTCGGGCCGTGTCATGGTCATGTACTGCAGGGCGCCGGCCAGGCTGCGATACTCGGAGGCGTCAGGGACCGGCGCGCCGTCTGTCGCGGAGAGCTTGGAGTGGGTGTCGACCGGCGTGGACACCGGTTTGCACTCGGTCATGTTGGCGCATTCCAGCAGCTCCGCAGCATATTTGCACTAAGAGAGGAAGAAGCCTTCGGGCATCCTGGTCACGGCGATGCCGAGGAAGTAGTGGAGTGGGCCGAGATCCTTCATCGAGAATTCCACAAACAGGAGCTGCTGGAGTTGTTGGAGAAGC